CCAGCAACGCGACCCCATCATAAACAAGTCTTTCCTTGATCCTCCCCTGCCGCGAGCGCCCTCGGGGACCTTGGCAGCTGCAGCCGCCGCGGAGCCTTTCCAGAAAGGGGGCGTGGCCGCGGCTCGGGGTTCGGCCGGGAGCGTTCCGGGGCTCAAGGAGGCGGGGCCGGGCCGCTGTCACCGGGCAGGAGAGAACGTTGCGAACGTGCGCCCAGAGCCCATTGGCCGAGGCGGGCCACACTCCCGGGTCTGGATTGGGCCGCGCAGCAGAGGGGGCGTGGCCTCGCCGCGCCAGTCCTTATAGGCTGCTCTGCGCTGCTGCTGGGGAAAGCAGCGGGTCGAGGGGGAGGCGCGGGTGGGCAGGAGGACGGGTCTGGGCCGCTCTCGGTAGTTGGCACCGGGTCGCACAGCCATTCAAGCGGCAGGACGCACTTGTTCTAGCAGCTCTCGCTGACCGCGCCAGCTGGTGAGTGTCCCTTCTGTGTGTGTTGGTCTGGGGGTTCCAGCGCCCTCGGTCTGGTCTAGTCCTCAGACTGACGCCCGGTCCGTGCCCTTCTTGTCTTACAGCGGCTTCTGCGATCCCGGTACCCTGAGCTCATCAGCAAACGCCCTGGCGTCCGTCCTCACCATGCCCAGCCTTTGGGACCGCTTCTCATCGTCCTCCTCCTCTTCGTCCTCATCCTTGTCCCGAACTCCCACCCCAGATCGGCCGCCGCGCTCGGCCCGGGGGTCGGCGGCGCGGGAGGAGGGGCTTGACCGCTGCGCGAGCCTGGAGAGCTCGGACTGCGAGTCCCTGGACAGCAGCAACAGTGGCTTCGGGCCCGAGGAAGGTGAGCGGCGGGCGGGTGCGGGGCTGGGGAGCTGAGGGAGCGCCGGTGTTAGAAGGGGTCAAAACCACCTTGGCAAGCCCGTCCGTCCCGACCCGGATTGCCTGGGGGAGGGGGGAGGTTGGAGGTTGGTGTACAGGGCGCGAGTGTGGGGCGGAAACTGAGGCACGGAGTGGGAAGGAGCGCTGGCTTCTTCGCGAGACACCTCCCCCGCCTGCGTGGCCCTTTGAAGCTGCTTAGCCACCCCTTCCCTGTGTTGCCCCTTCCAGACTCGGCGTACCTGGAGGGGGTGTCGCTGCCCGACTTCGAGCTGCTCAGCGACCCCGAGGACGAGCACCTGTGTGCCAGCCTGATGCAGCTGCTGCAGGAGAGCCTGGCCCAGGCGCGACTGGGCTCGCGGCGCCCTGCGCGCCTGCTGATGCCGGGCCAGCTGGTGAGCCAGGTGGGCAAGGAACTCCTGCGCCTGGCTTACAGCGAGCCGTGCGGCCTGCGGGGGGCGCTGCTGGACGTTTGCGTAGAACAAGGCAAGAGCTGCCACAGCGTGGGCCAGCTGGCCTTGGACCCCAGCCTGGTGCCCACCTTCCAGCTGACCCTCGTGCTGCGCCTGGACTCACGCCTGTGGCCCAAGATCCAGGGGCTGTTTAGTTCGGCCAACTCGCCCTTCCTCCCCGGCTTCAGCCAGTCCCTGACGCTGAGCACTGGCTTCCGAGTCATCAAGAAGAAGCTGTACAGTTCTGAGCAGCTGCTCATCGAGGAGTGTTGAACTTCAGCCTGGGGGGCCGACACTGCCCCCTTCCATGGCAGAGACAACCGAACTTTTGGGGTGGAGACTAGCAGGCGGGATCTGAGGGCCTGATGTTTGTCATTAGAAAGCCAGAAGAAAGTCGAGGTGGGGGACACACAGTGTTTTCTAGGAAGCTCACCGGGTCTTGTGCAGGTGGCTCTGTGTTGGGGACACATGGCCCTCAGTACTGTAGCATGAAACAAAGGCTTAGGCCAACCAGGCTTCTGGCTGGATGTGTATGTAGCATGTACCTACCTTATTATTTTTATTACTGACAGTTAAGACAACAGTGGTGTGACAGAGCCAGGAGAGCAGCTGGACTGCTCCCACCTCTGCCAAGGGTGAAGGGGTGTGTGCTCCTGGTAGCAGCCAGAGGGAGGGGGGAGGTCATGGAGGTGGTTTTTCCTGGTCTGAAGGACCAAGCGTGTTTGTTGTTTGTTTCTGTATCTTTTGTTTTTCTGATTGGAGCTTCACTACTGACCTGTTCGAGGCAGCTATCTTACAGACGCATGAATGTAAGAGTTTAGGGTGGGTGTTGGGATCATCTGGGATCTTTGACACTTGAAGAAAAAAATACACCTAGGAGCTGCGTTCAACCCATCCCCCCTGCCCACACTGCAGAGTTGAGCTGTGAGGTGAGGGGGCCGACGGGGGTGGGGGCTGGAACCCCTCCCCCAGAGGAGTGCCATCTGGGTCTTCCATGTAGAACTGTTTACATGAAGATACTCACTGTTCATGAATACACTTGATGTTCAAGTATTAAGACCTATGCAATATTTTTTACTTTTCTAATAAACATGTTTGTTAAGATAGCTGGCTGAGTCTCATCAGTGCCATGAAATGGGAAGGGGGGAGATGGGTGCCGGTCAAAGGCAGTTTTCCTCAGACCCTGGGGCCCACCTGTGTGTTCTGTCCTTTTCCGGGACTGCCTGCCAGCCTGGTAACAGGTATGTGGACTGTGTGCCATCTGTGCCAAGAACCCTGACTCCCTTGGCTTTGTGCAGGCTGAAGCTACCAGGAGGACACTCTGGAAAGCACCCAAAGGTGAGGGGGTGAGTCAGACCTCCCGCTGAGCTGGAATCTCAGTAGGGAGAGTTCACCTGGCTGCCTGGGTTAGAAGGCTCAGGCACAAGGGTCCCCCAAGCCCAAGGCACTGAAAAGCCTGGAAGATACTTTCTTCCTTCTGTGAGAAAAGTCCCAGTTCTATTTGTCCTGCTGTCATGAAAATAAATTTTCTCTCTGAATATAAAAAGGCTAAGAGGAATTTGAAAAGGACTACTTACAGCAAGTCTCTCACTAGACAAAGCATCTAGGGATCGGGCTGCCGCTGGAAGGAAGTGCAGGTCGGAAGTGCAGGTCGGGCAGGTGAAGAATCCCCAACACCACACAGGTGAGGGAGAGTCACAGATTTGTCTTCATGATACCCTGGGTGACCTGGACACCTTGCACTCTCTGTACCCCAAGTTCCTTATCGGAGCAATAGGCAAATTGGAGTTGGGCCAGATGAAGGCTGAGGCCCTTCCCCCATCTCCTTCCCTGTGACTGGGTCCACCCACACCAACAGGCCTTGGAGAGTTGTTATCTCCCTTGTGTCTCTTCCTGGTTTGCCCAAGACTAAAACAGTGCTTCTTCCACTTGAGTGTGTGGTCAGATGGCTTGGGGCCCTAGTGGAGATTTTGAGTGCATGTCAGGTAGGGTCCCAGGAATCTGCATTTTCATCAAGAATTCCTATGCAGGGTCCTGAACTTTGGGATAGCTTGGAAGAATGACTGTGCCTTTGGTAGAACTGAGTGACTTGCTTCTCAAAATGAATGAACTTACATGGATGGTGATAACAGTGATAACAATTAAGGAGTCCAGGCTGGGCATGGTGGCACATGCCTATAATCCCAGCACATTGGGAAGCCGAGAGGATTGCCTGAGCCCACGGGTTCAAGACCAACCTGGGCAACTTGGTGAGACCTCATCTCTACAATAAAAAAAGAAGAAGAAGGTATCCAGAGTATAGTTTTAGGAAAGCCCTCGCGCCCATTTCCTCAGCACATCCTCCTAATAGCCACCCTGGGAGGGGTGGGCGGGGCAGAGGTTTGTAATGTTTTACAGATCAGCAAATAGAGGCCCAAGCCTTGAGTGACCATCTTCTCTGGCAAGCGCTGACCTTGTCCACTCCCAGCCCCTCAGGTTCGGGGCTGGATTGCAGCAAGCTTAACACCTGGGCCGTGTCTGAGGGTCACTTTCCCAGGAACTGAGGTCTACGTCAATGTACCTGACCATGCTTCCCTGGTCTCAAGAAGAGCAAGGAAGCCGGGCTCCGTGGCTCAGCCTGTAATCCCGCGCCTTTGGGAGGCTGAGGTGAGTGGATTGCCTAAGCCCG